TTTTTTTTTGGATTTTTTTTTTCACTTTTTTTGCCGGGGCCAGGGGTGCCGACCCCCGGCCCCCAGAACCCCCGCCGGGGCCCCGGGGCCGGGGCTCGACAACCCTGGGCACAGGGGTGGGCCGGATTGCACACCTTTAGACACGCTGCTCAACCAGATGCTCAGGAACGTTGACACAAAGAGACTACTCAAGAAGGATACAGGGGGAGGGGGGATTCCGGTAATTGTTCACAGTGGCAATCAACTATCAATCTGCCATCCAGTATACATCTTCAACAGGAGATGCTATTTTTATTTTTGATTATCTAGTTGTGACAGACTTTGCTAACAACTGACAGACAGCTACAGACAGATTAGATCTTTGCTGTAGTGCAATCTGTTCCAGGGTAATCCAAAAATAAAATTAATATATCTTGTAGGACCTGACATTAGTTGTTAATATATCACCTAACTGTTTCTGTTCCATCCGACCGAAATTAGTTGTGTTTCATAATCGGTTGTGTGTCAGGCTAAGGAAGGATTCAGTGTGGATTCTAGTTTAGATCACACACATTGTAGCTCATGAGTGACGCAAGCACTAGTGAGGAGGAGTTGCTAGTGGACGACCGTAGGACTACTCGCGGGACTGCTCGTAGTCGACCCTTGACATTCTTGGAGTTACGTCCAGGAGACGAGAGAAGATTGCGGAGAGAGGGTAGAGAGACAGCAGCAGCAAGGAGAGCGAGGGCAACTGAGGATAGTGCCAAGACTAGAGTCTCAGCTAGTACCGGTGCAACCATGGCTACCTCAGCCATGTCACAAGTCTCTACACAGTCCTCTTCGTCAGGAGTCAGTCGGAGTGGTTCTCAGGTTTCCACTAGTCAGATTGCTAGCATGCGAGTCAGCCAGCAAACTCAACTCACGCGGGAGGATTTAGAAATCCGGGAAGCAGAAGAACTTCAGGATGAGCTACAGCGGCACTTGGACGAGGCAGCAGAGAGGAGAAGAAAAGTCATACTTAGGAAGGCCAGACTATGAAGTAGAATGCAGGAGCTAGGCAGACTGGAAGCACTAGATGAGGCAGCTTTAGACCCTGCTGGTCGTGTGGTGCGTAATGCTTTACATTCAATAGCTGAAGCGCAGAACGTCCTGCAGGAATTGCTGGCCGATTTGGTGGCAGGCCAGAAACAAATCCTGGTTGAACTTCGGGCTCCTCGCATAGCAGTGAGGCAGCCACAATTTGCTGTAGTTCCCCCTGTAGGTGCGGGTCCTTCATCGATGCCGCAACACACACGGCAAAGTTTCTCTCCTATGTTTGGCATGCCCCCTCCAGGTGGTTTAGCACCAACTAGTGGTCTGGTTCAAAGAGTCTCAGTCGTACCATCCACGATAGTGGTAACTACAGTCCCACTGTCAAGCCAGGCCCAGGTTAGTGTGCAGCAGCCTGTTTCAGTGGCAATGCAGCCGCTGCAGCAAGCCCCTGGGCCCATGCAGCCTATGCAGTGGATGCCCAAGATACCTCTGATGAGTACCAAGCCTTTCTCTGGAGACGGGAAGAAGGAAGAGGACTTGGATACCTGGGTGAGGACTGTGCCTACTTATGTGAGGCGCAAGCTCACAAGGCCAGAGCAAGAAGTTGTAGTGGCTGCCTTCTTTTTAGAGGGATCAGCAGCTCGCTGGTTGAATGGCCTAGTGCAGCAACAGGGTTACGGCCAGGATTTCAATGCCTGGGCCCAGGCCCAGACATTGGAACAGTTCGTACGGTCCGTCTACAACAGGTGGCATGACCCGCAAGGGGCTCAAAAGGCCACCGATGCTATCAACAACCTTTGTTCCCGCAGGTTCAAGGATGTTAGAGAGCTTATAGACACCGTAGAACGCCTTCTCGTGGTACCTGGTGTGCGTTTTGACCAGCAGGTTCTCCTGACGAATTACCTAAGGTGCTTACCTGTAGAGGTAAGGACCAAACTGGTTGATGAGGCCTATGTCGAACAGCACACCTTCGCTTCTTTTAGTAAGAAAGCTCCGGACATAGAGGCAAGGTCGGGATCTGCACATAAGGTATCCCATGATGGTAGGAAGAGACTGCCCCAAGACTGGAAGAAGAAGGGTCAGTTAATGTTCGTTGACCATGATGGGCAAACGACGGAGATTGACGAATTCCCAGACCTTGGGGAGTTGACAGAGCAGGATGGGGCCAGCGAGATTTCGGATGGGGGAGTCGTGGCGCCCATCAAGGAAAAGGCTACGGGGACCGGGAAGAAGAAGGTAGGACGGTCCACGGGTCAGGGAGACCAAGGGACACCCGCATGGGTAAAGCTTGGTTTGGATTATGAGGTGTGGAGGGACCGAGTTGCTAGGGGCACTTGCATGAACTGTGGCAATTATGGCCACACGTCGCGTACGTGCCGAGGTAAAAAGGTCACGACGAAGGTAGCCACGCCAACAGTGGTGGGCTTATCTTCGAATCCTGGGAGTGCTTCTGCAAGCAGCTCACAAGGAAAGACCTCGGGCCAGTAGGAGTGTTAGCCGCTCTTACTCGTGCTGAAGTGGTAACGTTGCCTTCCCCACTTCAGGCGTTGGCCAAGGCTAGAGACCCACGCATCGCCCCTCACACACATTCAAACCCACCGACGCTCTGTTCGAGAGATGTGTCTGAGGCCCTAGAAGAGTTAGAGACTGAGTGGTCAGGGAAGGACCCCAGGGACTCTTGGGCGATGATCAATAAAGGTCCAAAGGGTGAACTTTTCGTGGTAGAAGTAGATGTAGGTGGCCGCAAGATTGGCGCCTTCGCAGACATATGCTCTACACGAAATTTCATCAGTCGTGCTTGTGTGGATAGACTGCGCTTAGGGGACCAAGTGCAGCGGCTTAGCAGAACTGTAGCTTCTACGCTGGACAACAAGCACCAAATGTTGGTGAAAGACTATGTGAAGGACGTAGTCTGCACCTTCTCCTATGGAGGAGGGGAAGTGAGTCATAAAATCTCCTTCCTGGTTAGCGACGAACTGCCATTAGACATGCTCCTAGGTATGTACTACCTCGAGGTCGCACAACCGCAGTTTGACTGGCATAGAAAGGTATTGATTCACAAGGTGCCCAACGGTAGATCTGTTAGATTGCAAAAGTTCAAAGCTAGCAGTCTAATAGAAAACTACGGGTGCATGTGTGCATCATCCTTCTATAACTATTATAAGCAGAATCGCGTGGAGGGCATGTATCTAGTATTTGTCTCTGACAAAAGGGAGGCCGTTAAAACACCGCCAGAGATAGAAACATTCATCGCACAATATTCAGACCTTTTTTAGGAGCCCACAGGCGTGGTGGAAAGGGAGGTTGTTCATGCGATAGAGGTTGTCCCAGGTAGCAAGGTGCCTAGAGGACGAATCTATACGATGTCTCCTGCGGAGTTAGATGAGCTTCGCCACCAGCTCAAGGAGCTCACAGAGAAGGGATGGATTCGGCCTAGTACCTCCCCTTACGGCGCTCCAGTCCTATTCGTACCGAAGAAGGGAGGTACCTTAAGGATGTGCATTGACTATAGGGGCCTCAATGCCATCACCGTTAAGAACGCGGAGCCCCTACCCCGCATCGACGACCTCTTGGATAGAGTGCAGGGATGCCAGTACTTCACCAAGATAGATATGAAGTCCGGATACCATCAAATTGCCATTAGGCCTGAGGATCACCACGAAATCGCATTTCAGACCAGGTACGGTCTGTACGAGTTTGTGGTGGTGCCCTTTGGTCTATGCAATGCACCTGGTGCATTCCAGCATGCGATGAACAGGATTTTTCATGACTACTTGGACAAGTTTATCGTCGTGTACCTCGACGATATTCTCATCTTTAGTAGGACTTTAGAGAAGCACGCTGAGCACTTGAAAACAGTGCTAGGTCTCCTAAGACAGCACCAGTACGAGGTTAACTTGGAAAAATGCGAGTTTGGTCGCACCAAGATCTTGTACTGGGGTCATGAAATCTCAGTGGATGGACTGAGGTCGGATAATGCCAAGGTGGCCAGCATACGTGACTGGCCCAGACCTCAGACTATTACTGAGGTCAGATCGTTTTTGGGGATGACGGGCTAAGACCTATAGTACTATAGCTTCCCCATTGACAAATCTAACTCGACTGGACACCCCTTGGGAGTGGACTGAAGAGTGTGAGGCGGCCTTTAGGAAACTGAAGTACGCTCTAACACACTATGAAGTTCGTAAACTTCCTGATCCTGATAAGCAGTTTGTCGTGACCACTGACGCCAGCCAATATGGCATAGGCGCGGTCCTTGCGCAAAAGGAGGGGCCCAAGTTGAGACCCATCGAGTACATGAGCAAAAAGATGCCATCTCAGAAACTGGCTAAGTCCACTTATGAGCGTGAGCTCTATGCCCTGTACAGAGCGCTGGTACATTGGAGACACTACGTCCTCGACAGATTCTTCTATGTAAGATCTGACCATGAGACCTTGTGCTGGATCAAGACTCAGCCAGTACTCTCTGACACCCTCAAGCGCTGGATACAAGTGATAGACATGTATGACTATCAACTTGATCCAATTAAGGGAGAGTAGAACAAAGTGGCTGATGCATTATCTCGCCGGGCGGATTATCTGGGCGCACTGGTAACAAAGTTTGGCATATCTAGCGATTTGACTCGATCATTGGTGGACGCCTACCAGCAAGATCCAGTTATGTCTGAGATCATTCGTAGATTCAAGGCAAAGGATAAAAAGACTTTGGACGAATTTACAATGGTAGACGGCTTGTTGTTTGTTGAGAAGGCAGGAATAAAAGGTTGTGTGTTCCCAGTAGTGAGTCGTTGCGTAGTTTATTTTTAGGAGAATGCCACGATGCAACTGGTCGTTTTGGCTACAAAAAGACATCAGCGAACTTAGTACAAAGATTCTGGTGGCCCTCTATGATGCTAGATGCAAAACGCTATGTTGAAACTTGCCAAGTTTGCCAAAGAGACAAACCAAGGACTCAGACTCCGCTTGGGCTGATCAAGCCCTTGCCGATTCCTGAAGGACCAGGTAAGAGTGTGTCTATGGATTTCATGGACACCCTTGTGACCAGCAAGTCTGGAACGAGACATATCTTTGTTATAGTGGACCACTTTACTAAGCACGCAAGACTGATCGCCATGCCAAAAACAGCTAAAACTGACTACGTCATCAAACTGTTTATGGATAATTGGGTACGGGATTTTGGCTTGCCTACATCCATCGTTAGCGATAGGGATGTGAGATTCACCAATGAACTGTGGCAGTCAACTGTTGAACAGATGGGCACCAAACTCCAAATGACCTCAGGGAATCACCCTTAGACAAATGGTCAGGCAGAACAGATGAACCGGGTAGTACAGCACCTGCTTCGGCATTACATTAAGCCAAGTCAGGATGACTGGGACGAGAAGTTACCTCTCGTCGCCAGCTTGTACAACATTGTTGTGCACAGTACAACCGGTATGACTCCCAACCAATTACATCTTGGTTGGAAGCCCAGAACTGCATTGGACTTAGCTACCAGAAAGACAATCACTGCAACACCTGGCGGCATAGATTTTGCTGTCAAATATCAACACATGCTGCAGCAGGCCGTTGAACATATTAGGAAGTCTCAAGATGCTATGATCGCATCTGAGAAAAAGCATAGACGGCCCTCTAACTCTCAGGTAGGTGAACGAGTCTGGGTAAAGTCATATGAATTAGGTCAGGAGTTGGGGATATCCAGAAAACTTATGCCACAGTATTTCGGGCCCTGGGAGATCCTGGAAGTAGTAGGGGATCAACCGGATGGGCCTTCATACGTGATCTGTATTCCTGCACACCTACGCACCTACCCAGTGTTTCATGCCTCCAAGTTGGCACCTTTTGTTGCCACTGATCAGTTTCCTTCCAGAAGATCAATGCTGCCCCCAACCATGGATGGCGAAGTGGACATTGACCAGATCATCGAGCATCGAGTGATGCCTGTTCCTCGACCATCAGGCAGAGGGCGACCTCCTAAGCCGAGAATGCAGTATCGTGTGAGCTTCTGACATCATCTGGATCCTAAAGAAGACAGGTGGTTCACACGAGAAGAACTCGTGAGAACAGCACCTCAAGTGATCGCAGGCTATGAAAGAGCACTCAAGGGGAAGATGTCTGCAGAATGAGAGACTTCTCAGAGGACTCACGAAGTAAAGGAGGAGGGAATGCGAGGATAAGGGTCCTCGATAGGCCTATGGGGCCCTGTTTGCATCATTACCCGCCCTAAGTGAAGGCGGAGGTGCCCGCCCTAAGTGAAGGCGGGCCTAGCTTTTTGCAAGTGGCCCTCGACTGCCAATTTCATATTTGTGGTCCAGGCAGTTGCGACGCGCCAGTTGGTTGAAAGAAACACAGGCCGAGCAACAAAGACATTTCCACAGCCCTCTGGGCCTTTCCAAGGAATGCAGGCCCTGGGCGTGATTCGCAGCCTCATACAGAGACAGTTGGGCGCCCAACCGAACAAGGCCCAGCAGCCCAGTAGTTGTTGTACGCAGGCAGCCTCCTGGGGCCTTCCGGAAGCATCTGGGCCCAGGCCAGCCCACCCAGGCTATGAGAGCTGGCCAGCTCTCTTCCATAAGGGAAAGAGCTCTGGCCAGGCAGCCTCATTCAGACACTCGCATGCTAGCGGCAGCGCTGCTGGAGCAAAGGCTCGCGGCTGCTGGCTGGCGCTGAGAGGCGAGGTGCAGCACGTGCGGTCGTGTAGAGGAGGAGGGTGCTGCTAAGGGCAGCGCCATAGCCCAGCCACCATAGCTGGTGGGCTTGGACTACAGTGAAGCGCAGGGGTGGTCTTCGGGTGAAAGAGAGGACAGGTGTGGGTGTAGTCAGGGGATAGGTGAAGGATGTTGATGATGATGATGATGTGAGGGCACTTACCTTGTACTGGCGATGGACTGCATGGGCGACATCTTCAAGTACTTCGAGCTGCCGCTGATGTCAACAGTTGCATTGTCTCTTTGTAGTCTGTAGTAACTGTGTAGGAGTAGGCTGGGCGCTGAGAGCGCCAAGTGTGAGTGTGAAGGAATTGGACTCTTGTTTTGGGAGGAGAGAGTATGCTCTCCATGAACATTGTTTTCCAGTGCTACGAACCTCCATTGGTGTATTATTGGTGCAATGCTGCTCTCTGGACACAGTGTGACTATTTGGCTTTCAATGTGATGGTGTGATCTGGAATTGTCATCTCGCTGTTACTTATTTTCCTTGCATTTTTTTTTCGGGGGGGGGAAATTTGTCTGGCGCCCATGTAATTTGCGTTATTTCCTCTCGCGCCCCTCCGATGGCCGATTTACCCTGTCGCGCCCCTGGGCCAAAGGCCCTTGTCGGTAGCGACCACAACTTTCCAAGACACCCTCCTTGGATTGACAGTCGCGCCCTGTGCCATATGCCCTCATGACAGGCAGCCATCTTTCTGCAATGCCCCCGCAGCCGTGAGGCACCACAAATTCGCATTTCCATCGGGCCCTGTGCCATATCGTCCGCTTCCCTGCAAGTGTGTGTGTGTGCGAGAGAGAGAGAGAGAGAAAGGGTGAGTTGGTGACTTTTCTTTCTCTCTCTCTCTCTCTCTCTCTCTCTCTCTCTCTCTC